GGTTCCCGATTCGTCTCGATAAAAGTTGAAAGTGGTGGGCTATGGTTTTACACACACGAACACGTAAGAAATCAATCGATGGGTTCCCGATGGAAAATAAGTGTGGTAGATTATGATTTTACACACATAAACACATACCAAATTAATGAATGGCTTCTCAACCGGACTCAATAGGTTCTTGATCAGTCTCGATCGCTCTTGATGGGTTTTCGATAGGTTCTTGCTCAGTCTTGATGTTGCTCGGTCTCGATAGGTTTTCGTTCGGTCTCGATCGGGTCTCGATAGGTGTTGGTTTTTATTTACATTATATATATATATATATATATATGTATGTGTGTGTGTGTGTTTTTTTTTAGAATATTGTACTGTACGCACAGGCTCGAGCTCCCCGCCCTAGCCAATCTCTCATTGGCAGGAAAGTTGTTTCGATCCAATCCATTCTTGGGATCAAATAAAGACAAAAAAAATGATATGTCAGTGACCTATAAACCATTAATATCAAGGATTCTTAACGGTGTGTATATGATGAAAATAAAAATGATTCTCTCTCACTGTAATCAATTTTTGTTTACACTATTTTATGTTTTCTCCGTTTTGGAGAATTTTGGAGAGCCTGTTGAAGCAAAAATATGCATAAAATCTCCATTTTCTCAATTTTAAAAAATCTATTGAAGATGCTCTTATATTTCGGGCCCTCGGACTACAACTGTTGTGTTCCGCCCCTGTGTACGCATGCGATTCTAGACTTTGGATTCTTGACATGCGATAAAATTACCTTTGATTTATTAAAACTAAAATACTTATATTTAAGCATTTTATTTTTGTGGTAGAAAGATTCTATTTGTCATTCATTTTGACACACTACCCATCAATGATTGCAGGTAAAAAGTACCCGACCAATAACCGACTTATTCCTCCATTGGAACGAATTTAAAAACAATTATGTGATTTTAGAACAGATTTTGTAACTATTGATGTCGTAGATGTTAAATTATCAATTATAATATAATTTTTTATTATATAGAAAAATATCACATTTACGAAAACTTGTGAAACAAGAAAATACGAATACAGAATATGAAAACATTTAATAAAAATCATTTATTTGTAACATTAATCCAAGAAAAAATTAAATAAGAACAAGACAAAGTTATTGAATTTTAATAAATGTTATCCAAAAATGGCATCTTTGACTTAGACACATGTTTAATAAAGCATTTAGTAACAGAAAATATTCCTTAATTAGATAAAGCTGAGAAATATCGTACACCACAATCAATTCCATTGAATTTTAATGTAGATAAATGAATTTATGGAATATATATTTTATAAAAATTAAAAACAAAAGTGGAGAAAATAATTTAAGGGTCGTTTATTAAATATTTATCTGGTAAGTGTTTATCGGGTAATTTTCCTCAGTTGATGAACATGGCAAGGGTCCAAAATCTTACTCGTTAAGAGGGATGATAATGATAGAGAGTCTTACCTGATAAGTGATGATGATGACTCTTACCCGGGTAAACATTACTGGGTAAATTGTTACATATGATACAGTTTTAATATACTACAACCTTACCTGGTAAAATAGATTATAGTGTTGACTTCTATTGGTAAGCCTTTACCAGGTAAGTATTTGGTTAAACGATCCCTTAGTTTGTTATAGCTATTGTCTATCTATACTATCTTATAAAGTATTTGACTAGAACTCTTAAAACACTATAAAACTCTTAAACCCGTTCATTTCTATCCGATTTCATCTCATATTTGATTTCGTGTAACTAACTGCAAATAAACACAATTAAATACATGATAAACATCTTATTTTAAATATATAAAATCTAAAATATCATTAGTATAATCATTAAATTCTAACAGAATACTTAATTATTATCTTTATAAAATTTATAACATTAAACCAAAAATAAATTGTTTTATTAT